CGCGAGCCGGCAGGACGCAGCGGGCGGCTCTGCTCCGCGCTCCCGCTCCGCGGGCGTCACAGCGGGCCGGGCCGCAGCCGGGAGCGGCGCAGAGGCGCCGCAGTCACGGACACGAGGGTTCCTAGGCAGGGCGGAGGGGAGACTTGCAAAGCCGCTTAGATGCTCAAGGATACGCACAGAAAACCTAGCGGGTAGCACCTAAACAAGGTCCCCAATTCCCCTGAACTTCCACAGGAACTATTAGGGTATTTGCTTTAAAAATAAAGTGAAAATTATTACATCAGATATCAAGAAGGGATTGGGCAAGCTTATGGATGAAAATATCATTGAGGACTTTTAAATATGACAGTATGAATGAGAAACCTGACTCAGGCTCTCTCTAAACCAATGCTTGATAAGCCTGCGAGAGCATTCCAGGGTGAAGATCACTTGGAGTTTGTCCTCCAATTTTTTCCCTGAGCAACAGTGGTGAATCCGGTGTGAACAGAGGCCACAAGATTAGACTGATCTCTGACTGATGACACAGTTCTTCGGTAAGTCTCTTTAAGCAGCTAGGTGCATCCTTCAGTACCCCAATAACCCTGCGAGTGTGGCCTTTGTCCTTCCTCCTTTGACACAATGGCAAAGGCTGAGTCACAAAACCAGAGCACACTGCGGTCTGGAACCACGTGACTCCCAAAGCTAAAAAGGAAACTGAAATAACAGAACCAAACCTTGTTTCTTCAGCATCTGATAAGCATCCCGGATTTTAACTTCCTGAGGAAACCAAACTGTCCAACTGAATATTATTTCTGTGACTCTTGATTTGACTTTTTCTGAAGACCAGGCTCCATGGTACTGAAAGCAAAAAGTTTTAAAAGAAAAAAAGTTCACAATCAAACAGCTAATGCTGGATATAACACACAGGTCTAGGGCCAAGCTGCTTGCATGCAGAGGTCACTCAGCAAATGGATTCCCAACACACTATTCACTGTGCCATCCACTGCATTATTCTGCAGCCGATAAAACAGCAGGCAGAGCCGTGGATGCACATGAGGAGAATGCTACAAACGCGTGACGATTACACAGACCCTACACAGCAATCAAAATGAAACCGTTTCAGAGCTGCTCTGAGCAGTTATTTGAAATGGTAACCAAGAATACTTTTCTTGTGATTTCTGTGAAAATAGTTTTGTGCTTGACTTTAAACCTTCCTCTTAACTGTTTATAATGCAAATGGCACCAATAACCACGGCCGGACCAAGGCAACTGAACAAACTGAACAAACCCAGAAGAGAAAATAGTTGACTTTTCTCAGTGTTTGGATATTTTCTCTGAGTTCATTACTGCCTGTGGGCACCCGCTTTAGCATCTTTAAAAAATACCTGTAGAAGTGATAAAAATCACACAGAAATTTCAAAGTCACAAAATCATTTTGAACACATATAACAATACCCGCTCTGTCAAAATAGCAAGCAAGTCTCTCTACAGTAACACTCTCTTTAAACTTGGTTATTTCACTGAAACACTGAAATACGTTTCCCAAACCTGGAATCAAGAGAAGAGTTTTTATTGCTTGCCTTCACTTTCCCCAGATCAGTGCTCTGCCATTGAGTTGACATAACGTAATGGCAAATGAAGCCCGAGTGGAAAGCATCTGCCCTGCTCATAAAGAGAAAATCGATTCCTGGATTGCTTAGAAGGGCGTTTTGGAACGTCCCAGCTCTGCTGCTTGATGCAAGGAGGAGCGGGGTGCGAAGATGCAGCCCCGCGTGTGTCGAGACGGCGGCGCTCGCTGCCCGAGGCTCCCGCACAGCGCGGGACAGAACGGGGCAGAGAGCCGGGCTGCTCCCGTCGCCTCCGTCCCCTGCCACGTCCCCGCGCAGGGGGAAAGGGGCCGCAGGCCGAGGTGCAACAGCCCCAGCACTGGGCTCCTCTAGGGCCTCTCCCTGCCCCAGCAGGGCTGGGAGGAACTAAGGGAAAAACTTTTCCCGGGAGGGATTCCTGGGAAGCAGGAAGAGTCAGCGCACAGCTGGGACCTATCGGGCACCGTCCTCACCCTCACGTTTTCAGGGAGAGGGGCAGGACACTATCTAGTGCTTTCCCCTCTATCCCATACCCATCCCTTTGTAACCTTAAAGGGAGGAAAATATATATTGCGTCATTTACAGGGAGATTTACACCCAACCCTTGTCCCTGGGAGCACAGAACAATCCACTCTTCCTGGTGAGAAGAACTCAAAGTTTTCATATCCCATCTGAAGAAAAGAGTGTCTCATACCAGCTAGATTCAACATAACCACAACCACCTACCTTTGGGGAAAGCACTTTTATCAGTTCATTCAGAAACCTGAATTTCGCTATTTCATTGTGAAACCTTTCGCCACAATTATTCACACAGGTCTCCAGCACCTGCAGAAAACAAACCAGCATCAAAGGGAGCCAGGACAAACAGCTCTCGGCTTTTTGAAAACTTTGCTACTGCGATATTACATCCAAGAACTTTCTGGCAGCACCACACAGACGCACACGAGATACTGGGGATGTTGTGGCAAGAACATGCGCTTTTCTTTTGGCAAAATATGAGAAGTAGCACATTCCAGCACGAGCCTCTTCTGTTCTCCCCGTCACCAACAACTCCTGAACGCCCGGCCCGTTGTGCAGACCCCGGCGAGAGCTGCAGACCGCTAATGCCCCCAGCAGAGCTGCAAGGAGAGGAAGAGCAGCATCGGCTCCCTCCGTTACGCCCTGGTCTCTGAACTCCTCATACAAGGAAAGGTGAGGAGAGGCAGCCCCAGGCTCTACCCCACGCACCACGTTCGGGTCACCCCGTGCCCCTTCGCGCACAGCCAGCAGCACTTACGGTCAGAGCATGCAGAGCCTCCATCTCCTGGGGCGACTGTAGCTGCAAGGAGAGGAAGAGCAGCATCGGCTCCCTCCGTTACGCCCTGGTCTCTGAACTCCTCATACAAGGAAAGGTGAGGAGAGGCAGCCCCAGGCTCTACCCCACGCACCACGTTCGGGTCACCCCGTGCCCCTTCGCGCACAGCCAGCAGCACTTACGGTCAGAGCATGCAGAGCCTCCATCTCCTGGGGCGACTGTATCTTATGTGCCAGCAGCCTGGGCGCGAGCGATGGGCTGGGGAGCAACAGGAGCGGGTCACGGAGCGCACGGGGAGCGAGAGGAACCGCGGGCGCCCCGAGCAGACCCCGCGCCCG